TTTTTATAGGGGGAGGAAGTGACGATTGATTTCCCTAAGGTAAGTGACGCTTGGGCAGAATACGTTTCTCGCCATATATTGCGACCACATGTCATCAATCTGCGAGAAGAAGTAATCGCCACGCTTCGAGAATGTCAATCAACGCTTCCCTTCATTGGAACAACCAAACGGCGGCTTGATTATCTTTTCCATATTAAATGCACCCTCATTTGCATTTAATGCTGTGAAAGGGAATGTCGTTTCAGCATGACTGCATTTAATGCGCATGGCTGGCACTTATTGCGCACTAGACACGTTTATCAAAATAAAAATTATTTTATTAAACGAATTAGCTGTCAAGCGCAATAGATAACATTTGAAGAGGTCGTTTGGGCAGAACACTCTTCGCTGCGTACCAATTTCGAGACAATGCGATTTCTTGTCCTTGGTAAAAATATACTAAGTATTCTAAGGTCGCAGACTGTGGATGGGATTTGAAACACATCGGTATGACACTGAGTGGGGCTTGATCCAGGTCGTTGAATCTGTGGAAGAAGGTCACCTCAGATTACTTGTACTACCCTTAGAGACATGTGCTGCGACCTCCTTGCAGCTTGGTTAGCTCGACCAAGCGTCATTCGGGACAAGTCAAGTCGCGACATAATTATGAAGTTCTCAAGGTTCAATCCTTAAACCTTAAAAACTGGGAGACTTTTGTTATGCCTGAAAAGTTAGGGCTGACGTGGACTCTCGTCAGTAAGAGCCAATCAGGGTTTAGGAAGGTTTTGTGCTGTCCAGGCATTGCCACGTCGCACAATGACAGAAGAGGTATGGTTCTTGTCAGTACAGCAGATGAGTGACAGGCTTGTGAGTGGTTAGGGATTATCCACCTATCCGAGCCTTATGCAATTTGAGGATATTTCTCGTGCAGATAACCAATGGGACACAAAGAATGATTTGCACGGCACCTACCCACTTGCAGACTTGTAATCATTACCTTGAACTCTCCCACTATAAATAGAGGACATCCCTCTCATTTACGGGATTTGCTAATTTTAGTCTAAAATAGCTTACACATTCTCTCTCTCTCTCTTTTTTTTTTTTTTTTTTGTATTCTCTCTAGATTATAACTCAGCTTGTCGCGCGCGACCTTATTTTACCCATCTATTAATACAATAGCAGTGAACGTAGAATTCACTTTTGAGCATCCGAACCACTTTAAATATCGCTTCTCATTCATTGTTTCATTTTATGTTTCTTTATCACGTGTGATTTCTAAGTCCACTTAGCACTTTGCACATGTGAGTTGTTGGTGTCAAAATCAAGCATCAACAATGGTAGATTTGTGATGTTTACATTATTTTGTAATCATCCATTTACTCTAGTCTAAAGTATAGTTCCATGAACCAATTCAATAGTTATCAGTGATCCATAACACAATATTTAAGCTCCAGAACATATACAGTAGCACCATAATGCATGAGAAATTTATTTCATAATTACATAAGTTTATAGCTGAAGTAGCAATCTCACAAATCAATATTTTTATATTCAATAACCAGACAAGAGGGAAAACATCCTCTTTAGAGATGGGATCCACAAATCTAATCGATGAATTAAAATCTTGAACTTCCTTGTGCCTGCAGAATAGCAAAAGTTTCAAACAGAAAAGAAAAATCTTAATACATTGTTATTTTTATAACATTAACAGGCTCTTCTGGGGGCAATCACCTAGCGAAGATGCATTGTTATTCTGTAAACTTATGCTAAATTTCAGATCTTGTTACCTCTTTTACTTTTGTTCATGTGCTTGTTCTCCTTCTCCTAGCACTGTTGTGCAGATCCAATCTAACCCCTCCTGAAGACCCTCTCCGGAGATTGCAGATGTGCCCTGGATATGCCTTTAATACACTATCAACATCATGTCAATGTAATGTTTATAAATCCCAAACAAATCTCTTTAAATTTCTTATAAAGCTAATTCCAATCATCTCAATTCGGTTTCAGAACTACATAATTTTTCGTGGTTTAAGTGGTTAACAAAATGTAGGAGGGGATGGTAGTGTTATGTCCTCATATGGCTGTTAAGTACAGTTTTTTAATTAGCTTGATACACTGTCCATTCATCTAATGATCGAAAAAAATGTGAATACTGAAATAAAAATGTTCAAAGCCAGAAAGGCATTTTACCATCGTGGCTGACCAAGAGAGTGAAGACCAAGCTTGTCAGTTAATTCTGTGGTATTCATTGCGTTTGGCAGATCTTGTTTGTTGGCAAATACTAGCAATACAGCATCACTTAATTCACCCTGAAACCAAGATGATAGTAAATTGTGTTACAGAAACTTGGGCAAAAGAATTTCTGATGTTTGATCCTTGTAATCATACTCAACAATCACTGAGCAGCTAAAAAGGTGGGAATACCTTTTGCAACGTCAGGTGTAATTCATTCCTTGCATCATCAACTCTCTCCCTGTCATTGCTATCTATGACAAAAATAAGGCACGGAGTCTTGCGGAAATAGATGCTCCATAATGGGCGGGTCTGCATTTAAGGAAAATAACATTGGATGCATATGTAATTAAAACAAAATAGCATTTAACCTCAACAAAAAAAAAAAAAATCTATTATAATAGGCATGGCAATGTTCCCCGAGATTTCGGGGACCCGTCCCGCCCCATACGGGGCGGGGAGCTCCAGTTTTTTTGGGGATAGGGGCGGGGGTGGAGGGTCTTTTAATCCCCGTCCTCGGGAGGGGGCGGGGGTGGGTGATGCCTTTCCCCCGGCCCGCCCCGTATATAATATAAAAATTAAAAAATGTATATATATATTTACTTTTCACTAATATCCCTATATTTCCCTAATTACACATTATCCTTCCTATATAAACCTATATTTTTCTAATTTCCCTCACCCCAAACAATTGAACAAGAACAAACCCTGATCCATATTATCTATAATTAATTATGTTTAAACGATTAATTTAAGTGTTGTCATGTGGATGAGAATTAACTATTTGTTTGAGAATGCTCAAATTAATTTATGCTTATATAAAATTAATGAGGCGGGGACGTGCCTCCAACATTCCCCTTTGGGGCGGGGAAGGGAAATTCCTGTCATCTTCGTAACGGGGATGGGCGGGGGTGGGGAATGATTTTGTAGCAAAAACATAATCGGATTTACAGTACCCTGACAACAATAAATGTAAACTCTAACAAAACGTAGCACTTCAAAGCAAAATCCATAACAGAATTCCACATATTTTTCATTTATATAAATCCCATGTTCATATCTATTAACTGGAGAAGATACGAGGAAAATTATGAAACAAAGACAAAGGCACTTCGAAACATGCAGTATAGATCAAACAATTTCGACATCCTTCCGCCGTTACATTTTTGAGATATCCATACCTTGACTTGACCATCGTTACATTCTTGAGATACACATGCCCTGCTTTGACCACTGACATCCATAACAGAGAAGTTGATGATCTGTATTCCACCACTCCACATTAAACCCTGCAGCCAATAGTTCTTTGCCAATCACTATCTACTATATAGCTGCTATATTATAGATAAAAAGACCCCCAGTAGCTCTAAAGGAACAACCCTCATTAACAAAAAGGAAGGTAATTTTCCTTCACCAGTTACAGAACATGTAACATCCTCAAAATGAAAGACACACCCCGGACATTCGGAGTGGAAACAAACCCTCTTAACATCACTGTTACTTTACGGGAATCGACCATTTGCAAAGTCTTTAAACTTCATGTTGCCATAACAAATACATTTACATGTGCCACTGAAAAACATAAGATATAGACCCACCTATATATATATATATTCAGAAAAATATATGCCAATTCACACATGAAGTCAGTCCAATACATCCATTGGAATCCACAACTCAATTGTAAACTAGATCAAAACACCTTATCGGAGGTAAATGAGAATTCACGCCAAAAGAGTCAGGCCTAAAATGCATCGATGACATTAATTAAAAAGTAGAGCCAAATAATCATAATGCATACACAATGAAGGCATCTGAGAGTAAGAATGTGGAAAGTGAACTGACCGACGGTAATGTCGGTAGAGACGACCTGTCCAAGCTTAAGCTTGTACAAAATGGTGGTTTTACTGGCTGCACGGCTGCACCCAGTCCCATCATCACAATTTGTATCTCCTGCTTAGGAAAAAAAAGACCGAACAGCTTTGTGAAACTCAACCCCATCTCTGCTCTCTCTAACTAATCTGTAAACAAACCAAAATCAACAAATCTGCTTAAATATTGCAATCAACACGTCAATGGATCTATCTTCCTGTGGAAGCAACGAGTTGATGGTTAAGGAAACTGATTGTTTGACTTTATTTTGGACCATTCCTCGAAGTTTCTTCTGACTTCAAAAAAAAAAAATGTCAAACCACATCTTCAATGGCCGACCGTTTGAAATTACAAATTCCCTCCTCAACAAGCAGCTGATGAATGTAACTTGGATTAGTGAACTTCTGCAATTGTGACGGTGTTAATGAATTTTAATTTCAAAAAAAAATGTCTATCTGAAATGTTTGTCAGAATCAGAATCGCGGGAAAATACTTAATCGAGATTGACGGCATCTTCCAGCTGTGAGATGTCATTTTCTTATGCTTGATAAAAAATTCTAAAAATAATATAAATATTAAATAATTGAAATACAATTCAGAGTTTTAACTTTTAATTGTACATCTGATAAATGTTTTTGTTAAGTTTCTGTTACGTTTGTACCGTTAAACCTGTAATATTGTTTTTGACATCTTTCTGACCTAGCTATTGATTGAGCTAACCTCAGGGGGTGTATGGTAATTGACTATTGTTTCAAATAAGCAATTTTTTCAAAATTAAACTTTCAATCATTTATTTTTGATATTTTTCAACTTGTTTCCTTTGACACACAGAAATTAGCAATGGCTTGTTCGGCTTGGCTTCACTCGTCTTCTTTATCACACACTCTGCTTCCAGTTCTCTAACGCGAAACTACTATCTCCACTACTTTCCTACGGTTCAACCGTCTCTCCTCCGCTGCTCGCTTCTTCTCCTCGATTGGCCGGACCAAGCTCTGGTTCTCGCCCAGGCCAAGCGCCGCGACGGTTCCTTATCGCTCAAAGAAGACCTAGTCGCTTCTCGTAAGCAAACCTCACTGTTCTCACTCTTAAATCTCTTTTTCTTCTTTGTAGTTTTTAAGTTTGAGCTCATAATTTTCTCTTTTCTTTTCAGCGGCTGATCTTCATTTTGAACCGCCACTGAAAATTGTGGAGTATCCGGACCCGATATTGAGAGCCTGAAACAAAAGAATTGTCACGTTTGACGATAATTTGAAGAAATTAGTCGATGAGATGTTCGACGTTATGTATAAGTGAGCTTTTTTCTTGTTCTCTGTTTTACACATGAGCTTGACGAATGTTTTGCTATTTATGAGTTACACTCTTAATGATATTAAATACAGTAACAATTTTACTTGTAGATATTATAGGCTTGACGTGTGAGGCTACAAGTTTTATGTTGAAGTAATGTTGTTGACCTGGTATACCAGGAAGATCCTTGTGAATGGGATAAGACTTGAAATTTTGAATTAGTGGTTTTGTAGTTCATTTGTGGCATTTTGTGTTCCTAGTTTGAATTTATTGCAACCTTTTACCGAATAAATAATGTTAAGTAATTAAGAAGATCAGCATAAATATAATTAACATAAATGGAGTTATATGATTACACGGAGTGAATTTTCTTTCAAATATATGCATTGCTTCCTAATCTAACTAGAGCATTGTTGGAGTTAAGCGAACCATTTGGAGTAAGGATACTTGACTTCAGCTATAGCTACTGAGTTTTTGGGTAGTGGTGTTTTTAGACATTGGCTTGACTATCAAGTTTGTCAAGAAGTCCCACAGAACATGTACTAGTTCTGTTTGCTAATTGGAAGTCATATGATTCTAAGATTGAGGTGTTTCTACTGTTGGATGCTTATAAAGGTCCTGGCTATTTACAGGAGTGTGAACAATTGTTGTTGGCTTCCTTTTTAACAGAACTGACGGTACAGGGCTCTCAGCACCCCAAGTAGGAATGAATGTACAACTTATGGTGTTTAATCCAGTTGGGGAGTGTGGTGAAGGAGAGGAAATTGTTCTCATTAATCCAAGAGTTAAAAAGTATTCAAAGAAAAAGGTGCTTTTTGATGAAGGTTGCCTGTCCTTTCCTGGAATCTATGCCGATTTTCAGGTATTCACAAATACTTACTTTATATGCTTACTATCTTTTTCAAGTGTTAGAACTTAGTTCTGTCTGGTCTAATCAGCAGATTGTTGAACTTCCTGCTGTTTTGCTTTATTTTTTCTCATTCCTACATTTAATTCTCTTTTTGTTAATTTATTTTTTAAATTATTTTATTATGGATGAATTATGATGAATATGAATCAATCCTAATAATAGAATGGATTGTAAATTAACACATTCTCATAACTTTCAATCAACGTCTCAGGCTTTGGATTTTGAATGTTAAATCAAATTTAGTTCTGTTTGTTGTATAGATTGATTGAAAGACGGATTTGGACGGATTTGAATTTAAGTTTTGAGACACCCTACTATTTATAAATAGATTGTGGTATTTGTTAAAATTTGGGTTCATGATAGATTTGTGATGTCTAAAGTATAGTTCCATGAACCAATTCAGTAATTAGTAGTGATCCATAACTCATAATTAAGCTCCAGAACATATACAGTAGCACCATAATACATGAGAAATTTATTTCATAATTACATAAGTTTATAGCTAAAGTAGCAATGACACAAATCAATATTTTTATATTCCAGAACGAGACAAGAGGGAAAACATTCTCTTTAGAGCTGGGATTCACAATGGAAATCTAATCGATGAATTAAAATCTTGAACTTCCTCATGCCTGCAGAAAAGAAAAAGTTTCAAACAGAAAAGAAAAATCTTAATACATTATTATTTTTATAACATTAACAGGCCCTTCTCGGGGCAATCACCTAGCGAAGATGCATTGTTATTCTGTAAATTTATGCTAAATTTCAGATCTTGTTACCTCTTCTACTTTTGTTCATGTGCTTGTTCTCCTTCTCCTAGCAATGTTGTGCAGAGCCAATCAAACCCCTCATGAAGACCCTCTCCGGAGATTGCAGATGTGCCCTGGATATGCCTGCGCTATCAATATCATGTCAATATAATGTTTATAAATCCCAAACAAATCTCTTTAAATTTCTTATATAACGAATTCCAATCATCTCAATTCTGTTTCAGTACTACATAATTTTTTGTCGTTTAGGTGGTTAACAAAATATAGAAGGGGATGGTAGTGTTAAGTCCTCATATGGCTGTTAAATACAGTTTTCTAATTATCTTGACACACTGTCCATTCATCCAACTGATTGAAAAAAATATGAATACTTAAATAAAAATGTTCAAAGCCAGAAAGGCATTTTACCATCGTCTCTGGCTAAGAGAGTGAAGACCAAGCTTGTTAGTTATTTCTGTGGTATTCATTGCATTTGGAAGATCTTGTTTGTTGGCAAATACTAGCAATAAAGCATCTCTTAATTCATCCTGAAACCAAGATGATAGTAAATTGTGTTATAGAAACTTTGGCAAAAGAATTTCTGATGTTTGATCCTTGTAAACATACTCAACAATCACTGAGCAGCTAGATAGGTGGGAGCTTATGGACACTAAAAAATAGTAACATTAAAATATCAATTATCCGAAGTAATAATAATTAAAATGTGGAGCAGTAAGAATTCTATAACAAAACAAGAAGAAAGTAACAACCAAAAAACCAGAACAGTCAGAAAGATAAGAAAATGGTTGGAATACCTCTTGCAACATCAGGTGTAATTCATTCCTTGCATCATCAACTCTATCCCTGTCATTGCTATCTATGACAAAAATAGGGCACGGAGCATTTTGGAAATAGTGCCTCCATAAAGGGCGGGTCTGCATTAAGGAAATAACATTGGTTGCATATTTAATTAAAACAAAATAGCATACCCCCAAAAAATCTATTATAATGATGTCACGTGTAGCAAAAACACTTGGATTTCACAGTACCCTGACAACAATCAATGTAAACTATAACAAAACGTAAGCACTTCAAAACAACATCCATAACAGAATTCCACATATTTTTCAGATATATAAATCCCAGTGTTCATATCCATAAACTGGAAAAGATATGGGGCAAAATTACGAAACAAAAGACATAAGCACTTCAAAACATGCTGTATAGATCAAACTAGTTTTGACATCCTTCCACCATTACATTTTTGAAATATCCATACCTTGCCTTGACCACCAACATCCATAACAGAGAAGTTGATGTTCTTGTATTCCACCATCTCCAGATTAAATCCTGCAGCCAATAGTTCTTTGCCAATCACTATCATACATATATAGCTGCTATATTTTACATAAAAAGATCACCAAACATCAGTTCAACCAACCCAAAGGAACAACTCCTCATTAACAAAAAGGAAGCTAATTTCCTTTCCCCAATCACAGGAGTCAGGAAATGTAACATCTCAAAATGAAAAACACACCCGGGAGATTCTGAGTGGAAACAAACCCTCTTAACATCACTGTTAGTTTACGGGAATCGGCTATTTGCAAAGTCTTTAAACTTCATGATGCCATGACAAGTTTAATTACATTTACATGTGCCGCAGAAAAACATAGATATAGACCCACCTATATTTATATTTATATATTCAGAAGTAAATATGCAAAGTTACACATGAAGTCTGTCCAATACATCCATTGAAATCCACAACTCAATTATAGACAAGAGCAAATTCCCATAAACACTTCGCTAAGAGAAATGAAAACATAATCAAGATATTAAATAACCACAAAAAAGGAAAAAGGAAAAAGAAAAAGAAAACTTTATTCTATTAGTTTTGCTAGGAAACCTGCAAACATCATTAGTTCTGATTTTTTTTTTTTTTTTTCAAAAGTCTCTATGTACGAAAAATCTGTCATATACCTCCCTTACAAACAAAGGAGATCCCTCTGCAAGGAAAGGTCTATGTGCTAAATTCCTAACCAAAAATGTACCCCTGTCACTAGACCAAAACAGCTTATGGGAGGTAAATGAAAATTCACCCCAAAAGAGTCAGGCCTAAAAGGCATTGATCACATTAATTAATAAGTAGAACCAAATAATCATAATGCATACACAAAGAAGGCATCTGAGAGTAAGAATGTAGAAAGTCAACTGACCGACGGTGACGACGGTAGAGACGACCTGTCCAAGCTTAAGATTGTACAAAATGGTGGTTTTACCGGCTGCATCCAGTCCCATCATCACAATTCGTATCTCCTGCTTAGGAAAAAAAACTACCGAACAGCTTTGTGAAACTCAGCCCCATCTCTGCTCTCTCTAACTAATCTGTAAACAAACCAAAATCAACAAATCTGCTTAAATACTGCAATCAACACGTCAATGGATCTATCTTCCTGTGGAAGCAACGAGTTGAAGGTTAAGGAAACTGGTTGTTTGACTTTATTTTGGGGGTGTAAATAAAATTTAACCTCGTAAGCGGACCATTCCTCGAAGTTTCTTCCGACTTCGAAAAAAAAATGTCAAACCACATCTTCAATGGCCGACCGTTTGAAATTATAAATTCCCTCCTAAACAAACAGCTGTGAATGTAACTTAAATTTTTTTTGAAGGAAACTTGGATTAGCGAACTTCTGCAATTGTAACGGTGTTAATGAATTTTAATTTCAAACAAAATGTCTTTCTGAAAGGCTAGTCAGAATCGCGGGAGAATACTTAATCGAGATTGACGGCATCTTCCAGCTGTGAGATGTCATTTGCCTACGCTTGATATAAAATTAATTTTTTATAATGACTACTTCAATATTTTCTCAGAAAATTATATATATATATTTATAAAATTCAGATTTTTAATTGTATATCTGATAAATGTTTTTGTTAAGTTTATGTTACGTTTGTACCCTTAAATCGGTTAACAATAATGCTACGAACACCGAAGACTTGCATAAAAATTTTGCACTGAATGACGTGTTAACTGAGTAGACGCAGCCATATAACATATTAACAAATATTCTGCGAATAACCATCGTCCATCAAATATGGACGAGCATTTGTGATTATTAGATGACCGTTCATTTTACATAGACTCTCGTTCATGAGAAAATAACAATAGACTCTCGTCTGTATTATATGGATGAGAGTCCATTTACTATGGACAAGCGTCCACCTAGAATGGATGTCTGTCCATAATTTAAATTAAAAAAATTTGAAAACAAAAATCATGGACGCCGGTCCATATATTATGGACGGGCGTCCCTACCCAATGGACGAGCATCCCTATTAGATGGACGTCTGTCCATTGTTTAAATTAAAAAAATTTACACTAAAATCATGGACGCCCATCCATATATTATGGATGGGCATCCATATTTAATGGACGGGCATCCTTATTAGATGGACACCCATCCATTGCCATACGAGAATTTAAATTTTGTAATATAATAATGGATGCCCGTCTATATTATAAGAACGAGCCTCCATATTAAATGGACGACCGTCCATACGCAAATTTTTTTTTTTTTAATTTACATAATTCTTTCGATTGTAAAAAAGATTAGCTTTTCTAATACACTTCTCCAAAATAAGTGCCAAAATTTTTAGATGAAAAAAAAAAAAAAAAAAAAGAACTTCTAATACCTTTTGCTTCATCGTTCCCTCTTTTCTTCTCATCTTGTTTTTCTCGTCTGCCTATTCTAGTTAGCCTTCTATAGAGTATTGTTGATTTCTTCCTCAACAGTTGCAACCAGTTTTTTCCTCAACAGCTACAACAAGCCGCTACCATGACAAGAAAGAAAGCCACCAATTTTTTATGAAAGAATTGTTTAGGGTGGAAAGGCAGTTACGGAGATCAAGCTTTTTTGAGATTAGAAAGATTTGTTGAGGTACTTAAGAGTTTATTGTTTAATTTATGCATTTATTTAGTTTTGTATTCTATTTTGGATTGAATATATGTTATAATAAAAAATAACTGATAGATAATATTTATTGGCGACTGTTGTGAGCCGGATTCGTGAACGCAAAAACTGGTATTGGTTTTGCATGAAATTACTGAATATGGAAGAGTCTAGTTTGCCTCATTTCAATGATGTTGAGGTAAATTGTGTTCGAAACATTAACTTTCTCGTTAACATGATTTTAAATTTGTTGTATCGTATTGTTTCTTATGATGTGTTGTATTAGTGCATTCTAATTTTGTCCATTATAAAACTATTAAATGATCAGGAAAATGAACGTGATGAATTAGAAGATATGGGATGCGCAGAGGAAGAAGTGGAGCCTTATATTGGAATGGTGTTTGATTCAGTTGATAGTCTGGTGAAGTATTACAAAAGATATGGTAACAAAATGGGTTTTGAAGCAATGATACATAGGTCAAAAAATGAGATGATGAGGAGATAAGATATGTGACAGTGACATGTTCTTGTTCTTGTTCTGGGAAGGAGAGATGTAAATCCAGAAATACCTTGAAAAGGCAACCTGCTGCTAAAACAAATTGTAAGAGTCAGATTAGTGCAGCTTTGAATGGTGAATGCAAATGAAAAATTAAATAAGTTGTATTTAAACATAACCATGATCTTACAAGTTCAACGAAAAGAAGATATTTCAAGGTTAACCAAACGATACAACCTTATGTGAAAAGGAGGCTTGAAGTTAATGATGTGGTTGGGATTAGACCGTGTAAAAAATTTCAGTCATGTTCAGTTGAGGTAAAAGGTGTCGAGAATTTGACGTTTCTACAAAAAGATTGTATGAACTACATTGAAAAAGTTAGAAGGCTACAACTTGGAGTTGGAGATGCTTCGACCGTACTCGGGTATTTTATAAAAATGCAAAAGGAGAATTCAAATTTCTGGTACATGATTGATGTAGATGAAGAGAGTCTATTACAGAATGTGCTATGGGTTGATGCTAGATGTAGGGTCGCATATAAAGAATTCAGTGATGTTGTGACCTTTGACACAACGAATTTGACAAAAAAGTATGATATGCCAATTGCTGCTTTTGTGGGGGTTGATCATCATGGACATTCGATATTGTTAGGTTGTGGGTTGATTTCCCATGAGGACAACGAGAAATTTATATGGCTATTTCATTCTTGACTTGAATGCATGGACTTTGCTCCTAATGGAATTATCACTGATCAAGACAAGGCCATCCAAAATGCAATTGAGATTGTTTTCCCTGGTA